CTCTGCAGTCTGGGGGATACTGGGCAGTGCGCGGCGTCCGGCCCAGGTAAGCGGGGCGCCCCGCCCGCCCGCTATGCCCCCCGAGGCCGCCGCGCTAGTGGGGCGCGGAGAGGCGGGGGAGCAGACGGCCTTGCGGAGAGAAGCCCGGGCGGCGGGAACTCGGGAAGCCGTCCGGGGTGGGGGCTAGAGGGACGGTCCCCACCGAGGGCTCCGCAGGGAGAGGGCGCAGTGGCCGGGGTGGGTGGGTCTGGACAGGAGTGACTCGGCGGGGGCCAGGTGGGCCTGAGCCTGGGGGGGTGCAGGGCAGAGGGAGGGGGTCGGGCAACCCCCCGAAGTGCTCGCAGGAAGCCGGGCAAGGCAGCACCGGGGAGGGGGGCGGAGGGAGGCCCTGCATTCCATACGTGCCCGGGGCGGCGGGGGGCAGGGTGTGGCCGCCCCGCGAGTCCCGTGTACCCTGGAGACCGGACTTGCGGCGCTTCCCGCTACGTTTAACACGAGCGTTACGGCCACCTAGAAAGTAATCCCCATCCGTTCCAAGTTACTTTTCTTTGAGACAAACAGGCATTTGTGAGACTTGTGCCGACCAGCAGGAGGGAATCAGTGGGGGGGGGGTTTGCAGCAACCCCTTAGCCTAATAAAACAACAAAACGAAAAAAACCTCAGCTCATTCTCCTTTGTCTAGATTATCTTGTAGGAGAGTAACTTCTGATTTCTGTGTCTGGAGAGTTTCCCACTTGGCCACTTTTGCATCAGGAAGGAAGTGTCCCCCGTGGTTCTGTGGGGAGGGTTGTCACTGACTAACTCGCGCTAATGCGACAGTGAGTCAGGGACCGAGGGCACAGAAAAGGGCGTGGCCCCCCAGGCCGTTCCCTGTAGCTCTGTGAGGTGGGTTCCAGCGCCTGGTGTGGAAGGCTGGATTCCTTCAGCTCCCAGTTGAGAAGGTAGGAAGTGAAAATCAATTTCCTTTTCTATAAAAGTGGTTTAAGGATGCTCATTCTTACCTTCCCCAATAAGGTTATTACCGAAGATTCAAAAAAAAAGTTCATTCAAAAATAAATATGTAAAGCACACTGAGACACAATTAAGTGCCACACCAATACAGAGTGTCATTGTTTTTGTGTTAAGATTTGCCATTTGAAAGCTATTTAATGGTATTCTCACTCTACGTGTAAAAGAGCTGTAAACTCATGGGTACCCACTGAGTCTTTACCAAGAACCATAAAGTCCTGGAGTCCGAGGGTCTGGACACCTGCGATCAGACTGACTCTATTGATGGATTCTGTCCAAAAGTATGTGCTACTGTACCTATCCAGAACTTGATGATTTGAAATGCAGAATGCACTTTCCCACTGAAACAGTGTTATGGAAGATGCTTAAGTTCCCAGCCTAGCCCAGAAACCCCTACCTAACGTGCACTGTATCAAAGTACTGATAGTACATGCCTAATTTGGGGGGGGGGGAGGGATTGGAGCAGGGTGAGGGAGAATATGTGGGTAAGAAGAATAAATTACTGAAATATTTTATTGGAACTTTTTCTTAGTTTCTTAAAGAGTTTGGCCTGATTAAATTATTTTAATTGGAAATTTTTATCTTTGTCGCCCTTTCCACTTCTCTGTCTTCCTCCTGCCTCCTTGGAGACCCTCTTCCCTGACTTATTACAACAGCTGGTCTGTGCTTATCCAGTTCTGCTGTGTTTCCCCCCTCCTTTCCATTGTCAGTGTACTTAGACCTGGCTGGAGGCTAGCAGATTGAATCAGTAGTCATTAATATTCAATATTAGGAATGGTTGGTGGTCCTGAAATCCTCAGCACCCCAGAGGAGCTGGGTTGTTTAAAAAAATAACAAAACTTTTTAAACCTTAACATCTATAATTTATAGTATTTGAGGCTATGGAATCATGGAGCCCCATAATATTCAGGCAACACGAAGGAAGACGAGGCCAGGTTCATTGTCCTCAGTGGTCAGGGGCGCTAAAGCCCATCCCAGCTTAACGCTGTTCTGCCTTCTAACTTCATCTAAGGTCTAAAAGCTTCAGTCGAGGCTTTGTCCAGAAGTGTCCATTGCATGGGCAGTGGAAGGGTGTGACCATCAGTGTACATTTTATTAGTTGGAGGATCATGATAAGGGAACCGGCTTGGATTTAGTGATATCCTGCAGTGCCAAGTGGCCTGCCTGTCGTAAATGCCCAGGAAATACTGCTGACTCACCGGCTTCCATCAGGAGCTTGGTCTTGGACTGGCGTCTCAGTATTTAACATCCTGTGTCTCTGAGCCTTTAGACTGCGCTATCGATTGACCTGCCTGCAGTCGTGGCCGTTAGTTTCCTGACGAAGTTCTAATTTAAGTAGTTTTCCTGGCAAGGTAGATATCCTGCCGTAATTGCTGTTGATCAGGGGGCTGTGGGATCTTCCTGCAGCATCAGGCCTTGAGTCTGGCCTTTGTTCTTGGTCTTTGTGCAGGGCTGCGGGCCTGCCGAGGAGTTTCTCACTGAAGGAGGGTGGGTGTGTCACAAGGAGTCCCAGGGCTCCTGGGCTTCTTGCAACATTCTTTCCACAATGTTTATTACACACCTACTGTGTTCTGCTCACAGGCATAAGCACTGGGGAATACAGTAGTGAACAAAACAGACCAAAAATCTCTGCTCTTTAGACTTTAAATCCAGTGGGGAGAAAAATAAAATAGACAGATGAGTGAGCTGTGCAGACAGTAATTGAATTTTGAACCATATGTTTTCTGGAATTAATATTAGTTTCCAAACTTGGTTGGGGCTCAAGGCCCCTTGAATCCAGGTGTGAGCGTCAGATTTAACCTACTTTAGGGAAGGTGTTGTTTAAAGTTATCTCGTGACTTAACCTGCCTTCCAGATTTGATTCCGAAAATAGAAATGGAATGCTTTTTTGTTTTTTTCAAAGGGGAAAGTGATATTTTAATTCAAATAATGCTCTTCTTTTTTTTGCCTTCGGGAATCCACCTCCCTCATTTTCCGTGGTGCCACACCCTATTCTAGTTGTAAGCTACATCAGAGGAAATTCCAGTCTTTAAAAAAAAAATTTTTCCGCCCATTCACTGTCGGGTATATTTTTCCTTCTCCAGTTGCCAGACGCAGTCCCCATGCATTTAGTTGGGGAGCAGGTCAGCAGTAGGGGTCAGGAAATGCCCAGGCTTGTTCTTCTGTGTGAATCAACTGAGATTACCTTCAAATTTCTCTTCTGGGGTACACCCTGAAGCTTTTAAACCATCTGAGCTCAATCATATCCTGGAGAAGTCTGTAGCATCCATGTGGTCTGAGTTAGGCTCCTAGGCTTGGTGTGGAAAGTTCTGACTCAGGAAGTGGCTGTCACATGGAATCCTTGCCCTTTGTCTCTCTGCCACACCCAGTCTCTTGCACTCCCAGCTCAAAGGAAATGAGAATCCCAAGGCCACGTGCAAATCCTTCCTCCTTGCTGCCTCCTTCCGGACCTTTCTTGCCTTAAGGAGACGTAGGTTACATTTCCACACTGTCCTGCGGACAGAGCCAGGACCCGAGGGGCCCTGACAGCACACAGGTGGGATACTGGCCTGTGGGATGGGGATGGGCTACATATCCTGATGAGAAAGAGGCTGCCCCCCTGAAATGGTCTGCCAGGCTTTACGAAGATTTGAACAGAGGCTGGGGATTTCAGCCTCCCAGCTCTGAATGCATGGAGGTAGAATTACATTTGAGATGTTCAGTCCGAGGGAGAGGAGGAAAATTGAAGAAGCAGAGTGTCTTGGAAAAAAAGACATAATGTGGGAAGACTCAGTGTGTGTAAACCATCCAGAAATGTGAGTGAGCGCCTACGGTGTGCTAGGCATTGCTCAGACCTAGGAGGAAATAGGAATGAGTACAAGAAAACCTGTGGGCGGATAGGATGGTAGACCGTGGTTAGACACTCCACTCTCATATTTCACAGACACACTGAGAGACAGGAGCACAGAGTGGGGAGAGGTACAGGAGAAAGGTAACAGTATTTTTTATATCCCCATGTCTCATGAGGATGCCAGCTGATGCAGACTGAGCCTTCCCAGCAGAGGGAAGTTGGAGAGCCCGGGCCTGGAGGTAGCCAGACAGTGCTGAGTGTGTTTGGAGAATGACAGCCCACTCTGACTTTGGTGCTTGGTGTGCATGCGTGTGTGTGCTTGCACATGCTTTATTTATGGAAAAGTTTAGTGTGGGAGATCTTGAATGCTGAGTTTAGACTTTTTTCTGGAACCGGCAGGGCCCCATCGGAACTGGCGTATGCGGGCCATAAAACACCGAAATTGAGTTGTAGATGTGAAGACCTTGATTTCCCAACCCTGAATGTGCTTTGTGCCAAGTGACATCATTCCTCCTGCTTGTCTCTTTCCGCCCACTCCGACCCCTTGTCAGGAGACTGATGGAGAGGCTCTTGAGAGCAAGAGGCTGCAGTGTGCCTGGAGGTAGCAAACAAATATTGATTTAGATCAGGCAGTAAGAGGGACAGGCCAGAGCAAGTGCCACTGTGTCCCTCTTGCTTGGTTGCTCAAGGCCACCAGGCAGGATTCCAGGATTTCTGGGGAATGACTTGCCCCTGTGACTCAGGCATTAATCAAGACCATAAAACCAAGGAGAAAAGTGTATGCTTTCAGGAAGGTTCTGTTAAGCAAAAATGCTTTGGGGGGAGGGGTGGAGAGTGGAGTACAGTGGGAACTTCACCCGTACCCCCCACTCAAGCAATTTTTTTTCCCCTCTTGGTTTAAAATTCCAGTCTAGTCCTGTAGACCCAGGAGTGCACAGTCAGGACTTGGCGGGGAATCCCATCCTCCACCCCCACACCACCACCACTTTCTTGCTTTAAAAATCCTCATTTGTATCATCCAGTCCCTGATTGATTCATCATGGTTGCTAAGGATATGTTTTGTGGTTACATATCAACACTCCACATTTAAACTAAAGTGGGTGTGTCCACCAAACTGCTGGGTTAGTCTCAGATTCTGCCAGGTACAGGAGCCCTGTGACAACGTGTTTTTGTTTGTTTGTGCAAATTAGTATTTGGGCTTTCTGGAGCTGGTTCTTAATTCATCTCAGTAGAACTTGCTTTTGTTCTTTGAAGTGTTGACTTCTAGGTTTCCTTTGTTTCAAACTGTTTGCAAACTTTGCTTTACTTTTCTTGTTGGGGGAAGAAGCTAAAGCTGTTTCGCTTGTACTATGTTTGTTGTGTCTCTGTGTTGGAAGTGAAACAGTGAAGTTCAATAAAATCTGTTGGGTTTAGGGGAAAAAAAGGACAAACCCTTAAATTATCTCTAAGATAGTCCTTATGTTAAATGTAAGTTGCTCATTTTTCCAGCAGCTGCACAGATTTCATTAGTGTCTAGCTTTGCACCCTAAGAGTTTTCCCAGTCAGGCAATTAACAGTCTCATTTATTAATATTTTCAAAAACCAGAGGAAACTTCTGTTCCCTTCGTTAGGGTGGAGCCAAGAGTGTGTTCCCATCCCAGTGGCGAGCTATTTCAAACCAGTTCGAAGTGGGTGTGGCTCTTTCTGTAGGTCTCTCTCTACCTCTCTAGTTGTTTTCTGTAAATGAAAACCTTCCCCTGGTAAAGATGATTTTAACGATCTTGTCTAGTGACCCAGCCCTTCTCTGGGAATGGAAGGTGCTGGTGTGTGGAGGTACTCATCAACAGACGTGCTTTTGCTGATTTTTTTTTTTTTCTTTGCAAGTTGAAACCAGTTGGAGTTCTGGGTGAGGCTGCCATGTTGGAAGGAGTGACACCATTTTCATACTCTGGAGAAGTCTGCCAGAAAGGGAGTGGTGGCTCTGCTTTGAATGCGCTTATGAATTTTACACACAGGATGAGGACTCAGCGGGGGCGGAATTGTCTGATGTAGTGAAGAAACCTGGGCATTGGATGTAGCGAAGAAATGAGGGCGGTCTGTTACTTCTGAGGTGAAAATGTGTTAGCCATCAAGCTCGCCTGAAGTAGGAAATATGTATGTGGGTACGGGAGACACTTGCATGGGTTAACAGCAGACTTCATGGATGTTGTTTTTCGGTTATTGTGACGTTTTTGCGTTTTCTGCAGGATGATTATAAATAATGTAAATGTTATTTATGCAAAAGAGCAGCTCACTGTTCCTGAGAGTTTATTTAGTACCTAGGGTGTGCAGAGGCACTCTTAAATCTGTGGGGGAACTGGGACTGTCTGGGGCAGATGAGGTAGAACAGGCTCCCTGCTTCATTGAATTGTACTACGTATTTGCCGTTAGAACACATAGTGAGTGGCAGGAACTCAGTACACTTTGGCTCAGTGGATACTAGTGATACCAGAAAGCGTTTCTGGCATTGAAAGGTGGGAGGGAGCGCTGTGGATTGGGGGCTGCAGCCGCCCTATTAGAGCAGATGCCAAGTAGTGGTGACTTGAGGATGGGCAGTGTCTGTAACTAGAAGAGACGAGGGTAAGGAGGTGGGGTAGGAAACGCGAATCCAGGTGCTGTGCCCTGAAGCCAGACAGTGTGTTTGGGGAAGAACAAGTAACAGTTTGGCTCAAGTCCACTGTTGCTGGGGAGGGGAGAGAGGGCAGGACGGAGCTGGAGTAAAAGATCACCACTGAACTCTCAGGAGGGACTGTGAACTGTTATGACGATAAAATAGAGGAATTTAGTTGCTAGTGGCCTGTAGGACTGATCTGATGCTAGAGCAGCACAACTCTGGTTGATTAAACAGAAAGGAAGATTTCTTGGGCGTTTTAAAATCCTGATTTTCTGACTGCTCAGTGTGTTGTGGCTGAGGGAGAAGAATGAGCATGAATCAGATGGTCTTTGTCCAGGACTGAGGGTGCCATCTGGGACGTGGGTGGGCAGCTGTCTCCCAAGCCAGGGCCCCGAGCTGGAAAGGCAGCTTGAAAGAGCTACGTGGCAGAAACTTACTGCGCTGCTGTGCTTGAGATTTCCTGAACACCAGAACCGATGTGAAGAACCTGGTCTACTTCAGAAGTGGAATTTAATCCACACAGAAACATCTCTGTTTGACTTCCTGGTCTTCTGTTTGTTTTTTTGTTTGTTTTTTTGTTTTGGTTTATGTTTGTTTTGGCTTTTTTTTTTAATTGAAGTATAGTCAGTTGCAACATGTCAATTTCTGGTGTACAGCAGAATGTTCCAGTCATGCATATACATACATATGGTCGTTTTCATATTTTTCATTAAAGGTGTTTTGACATTTTTATTTCTTAGCTGTTTACAGGGGGGACTAGAATTACAAGATGATACCAGTTTACACCTCACTGCAGACCTAGTCCAGTTCTGACTGAGCCCCAGGGGTAAGAGTCAAAACCAGGGCTTGAAAAAGAAAAAAAAAAAAAAAAAACCCAGGGCTTGGGTGGCCCATGTCCTGGGGAATTTGTCTCCACTTTGGTGACTCAGCAGAAGGATACTGATGAGTCCCTTTGGAATGCTTCTTGCCCCAAGTTGAAGTTGGAGATTTCTTGCTGTATCAAGACAGGCTCAAACTATCTGTGTCTTGACAAGAAATCTCAAACTTAGTCTTCAGCTAACCCAGCTACTGTGAAGGCTTGTGGACTAGGATTGGACCACGCCCATCCTGGGATCCTCTAGACCAGCACAGCCCAGTGAAATAAACTGTGAGCTGTATATGCAATTGCAAATTTTCTAATAACCACATTTGAAAAAAGTTAAAGAAACAGATGAAAGTAAATTTAAATAACGTATTTTATTGAATCTGATATAACCAGCATATTATAAACCTAATATATAATCAATATAAAAACTACTCAGAGATTTTACATTCTTCTCATACTAAGTTTTCAAAATCTGGTGCTTACTTTACATTGACAGTGCGTCTCAGTTTGAAATGGACACTTTTCAATGCTTGGTAGCCCCATGTGGCTAGTGGCTAGTGTATTTGGATAGTCTAGTCACAGAGCAAGACTCATAAAAAAATAGAATTTGTATTTTAGGGCAGTTCTAGGTTCATGGAAGAATCGAGTGGGAAGTACAGAGTTCCCATATATTCCTAGCACACAAGCTCCAGCTGTCAAGACTGCCCACCAGAGCAATATGTTGGACATATCATTCTCCCTCAACACCTGTGGTTCACATTAGGGTTCACTCTTGGTGGTGTATATTCTATATATTTTTGTTGTTGTTTGTTGGGGGGTAGGTAATTAGTAATTAGGTTTATTTATGTATTTATTTTTAGAGGAGGTACTGGGGACTGAACCCAGGATGTGCATGCTAAGCATGCACCCTACCATTTGAGATATATTCTCCCCCTGTATGTTCTGTGGATTTTGACAAACCTATAACAACATATATCCACCATTACAGTATCATGGCCCTAAAAATCATCTGTACTCCGCTGATTCATCCCTCCCTCCTTCCCCTCTAATCCCTGGCAACCACTGATCCTTTTCCTGTCTGCATAATTGTGCCTTTTCCAGAAAGTCGTAGAATTGAAACCATACAGAGTGGAGCCTTTTCAAACTGGCGTCTTTCACTTGGTAATATACAATGAAGTTTCCTCCATGTCTTTTCATGGCTTGATAGCTCATTTCTTTTCAGTGCTAAATGATATTACACTGTTTGGATATAGTTTATAGAGGAAAACTTTTTACAAATCAGAATTATATTTTAGCGGTGGGACATATTGGGGTGGCTGGGGTCACGGTGTCTGAAAGTTGTGGGAGTAGAGGAATGGAATAGCGGTGATTCTGTTTTTTCTGTGCTTAGAAAGCTTCTGTAAGCATCAAGAAAGGAGTGGTGTAGGAGAGACAGCTCAGGATGACAATCTTGCAGAAATATATCGATAACCATAAATAAAGGCGAATCCTCTTTTCCGTTCCTCTAACTCACCCCACACAGAACCTGGAATCTGCTTAATCCAAAGCCTTCTGATATATTAGCAAATGTCTGTGTTAGATTACTCCCCCCAAGCCAGTTGTGTGAAAACATTTAGACTAAGCAGACTGTTGGAAGAGTACACAAAGCTGGAATTGCATGGGCACAATTTCCTTGATCAAAGAATATTCAGAAAAGCAAAACAAAAACAGAACAAAACAAAACAAAAACCAAAGCAGGAGTTGCTGCAGTTCAGACATCATTCCCACTGTTTGAGGATGCAGCTCTGCTCTGTTTCCTTTATTTTGGGGATGCTGCTGCTGAATGACCAGTCCTGTCTCAGTTGAGGTAAATTTCATGCCAACTGAGCACTTTTTATTGGCAGGGGTTGATGTATCAATTCCGAGAACTGTGTGATTGCAAAGCTAGAAAGCCGATTCATCAGGCTGTAGTGTCACTGCCTGATTAAGTGTATTAACTGGAAGATGACTTCATTTCAGCCGTTCTGAATCTTAAATACAAGGCTCAGTCTTCTAGGGACTGAGTTAATGTCAGAAAATCTGTCTGTTCTCTCTCTCATAAACAGTTTAATATCCTCCAAGCATTGGTGAGCTAAGAAAATAATTCTAGATCGTAATAAAGGTTCCGTTTGGGCATGAGCCGACATGAAAATGCTGTTGATTTCAATTTACATCCCTAGTTTTCAGGGCCTTTTTCAATATATTAAGTTACTGGTGAAAACTACCAAAGTGATGGCTAGTTTGACAAGGTAACCACTTCTTACAAGAACTGGCAGATTCAGTCTTACCCTTCTTGAGCACGTTGCATTCGTCTTGAGAAGCGTTTTGTTTTTGTACTTGTAAGTCAGTCTCTCTTGGTTCTCTTTAAACGGAGTGAGAGCAGGTCCACCCCAAACGGAAGGCAAACCATTTCCCAGCTTTTATTTTCCCAGTCATACAACAGGAATGGCATCTATTTGCAAAAATTACTCTAATATCGTCAGATGAAATGGTCCAAGAAATAGAGATTAGTACAATGAATCCCTGTGCTTCAGGGGAAAGGAAAGCCTCTTCATAATAAAGACGTTTTGTTGTTCCTTTTCTTCCAGCTTCTTTCAAAATGTCTACTGTTCACGAAATTCTGTGCAAGCTCAGCTTGGAGGGTGATGTAAGTATATCATTTTCACTTTGTGTAATTTTTGCAGATGGGACATCTCTCTGGACAACCGTGCTCCTTCCTTTGGTTGTACATCTAAGGAAAATGAGGACAAAATTCAGTCATTCCCCCTCCTGGCTCCCCATTACTTTAGCTGTTTCTGGTAGTTCAATCTGAAAGAAACGTTATGGCACTGGAAACTGGGGGCATCACATTGAAATTGAACAGACACTAGTGACACTGAGGTGGCTGGAATTTTATCCTGCTATGTACTTAACATGTCAGTAGTAGTAATTGTTACAATGATACGTGGCTTTTAACGTCATGCCCTGGGATTTTATTAATGGTTGGCATAAGCTACAACCATATTGAAAAGGATCCTGCATGTTTTGGACTTCTTTTGGTGTCCAGGGTGTTATTCCAGACAAGGACTTCTTAAAAATTTAGCTCCTGGGAAAGCTTTTCTCCAAAAGAACTTTTTTTTTTTAAGCCAAATAATGAAAGTATTATAATTCATATTTCCTTTTTTGCTTTGACTATCAGGGAGCTCAGAATTATATTTAATTGTCTTTCATAGGAACCTGGAAATTCTGATGTATTTGCTTTTTTTGTTTTACAGTTAAAATCTTCAAAAGCTATATGCAAAATTAGTAAGTCACTGCAAATGGCTTTAGTAATCAAGTATAATATAAATTCTGAATATGTAAAGTATCTAGTAATACCATACATCTCTCACATCATCTTGGCAGAAGTGGTTTTTATGAAAACTCAGTAGTGACACTGGTTTGTAGGCATAAATCCTGCAGATATTTCAGAATGTGCTCTCCCGGAAATTAAAATACAAAGCACTTCAAGTGGGTGAGCAGCAGCTTGGGTCAGGTGGTGCAGAGCTCTGTCTCTGGTGCTTCCCATTACAGCGTTCAGATAGATGACGTCTGTGAGCGCAGGTTGTATGGAGTATAAAGCCTACATCGTTTTCATCTTCCCCTTGGAACTTGTGCACACTGTTGGCAACCCTGCAAGCTGCATGCTGAGGTCCAGACAAGTCCAAGAGCTGCATACATTTTTTTCTTAATGGATCAGATCATTAGATCATTTTTAGTATCGAGTTTTACAAGAGGGCTTTTCAGGTGGCCTTTGAAGTTACTCCAGTATGATGTGTTTCCCTGTGTGGAGAGATGGGACAGCAATAGAAAATGTCTAGTATTCCCCAATACTTTGAGGAAAAAGAAACAAAACTTTTGCCTCCATAATTTGATTTTCAGACAAATGGATTTTACAGGTAATAGTTTCAATTGCCCATTTAATTTTGTTTCCAGAGATACTATAAAATTATGCAAAACTTTTCCCTACTCACTGTTGTTTTTGGCATAAGACGACATAGTACCGGTAAATGAAACCATATGTGATCTGGCTCAGTGAGCAGACTGCCTGCCTTTGTAAGTGATTGATGGCGTTCTAATAAATAGGAAAATGTGTCCCCTTCAATTTCCATCCACATTTTGTAGCCACCGTGGCCAATGCAGTAAGTATTTTAGAATATCTTTTCCTGGATGTGTGCTCCATTTCCACTGAGCTAGTCCTCCAGGAAAGTTTAAGTAGTGAAATTATACAGAAAACACCCTGGTCATCCACTGTGTTTCAGAGCTATAAATATTAACTGTATTTACTGTTTGGCCAAGGTGGTCACAAGTACATTTTGAAACATTTCGTCCAGTCCTGAACTTAGAACTTTGTGCCTTGTCCTGGGAGACACTTGGGAGGAAGGCATCTTAGTTTTTAACCTGTGCAACTTCACTGCCCTTAGTGCTGGGGTGCCTCGAGATGTGATGCCTGTGGGTGGAGAGGTAAAGTCAGGGCAACTCAGTCTCAACTTTTCCCAGATACTGAGCCAAGGCAAAGTCATGATGTGATGGGAAATATATACTGGGTCGGGGTGGGGGTAGGAAGCCTTGACATTGAAGGAGAGGCCGTGGTGGATGGCTCCACTGGCCATCAGCCAATCTAAAGAACATTGTCAGTCCTGTTTGTCCTTTGCTTTGGGACTGGATAGCAGGGAAAAGGAAAGCTGTAAGAACATTCCAAAGGAGAGACGTTAACACTTCGGAAAGGAGCGCAAATGTGGGAGCACATTATCGTGGGGGTGGGTAGATCCTTCAGATTTGGAAGGGTAATGGGCTTTGAAAAACATTGGAAAGGAAGAGGCATGGCTTAAAGGCAATGAGAAAAAAAGATGCTAGGAAGAGTGGTAGGCAGAGAGGTTCCTGTTAAAGACAGCAGAGGGAAGGGTACAGACATAAGAGACAGGAGGCGGAACTTGGCTGACAAGAGGCCAACAAGAGGATGTGGGCCATGTGGCCTGACCACCTGGGTGGCACAATGGTGGCCGAAGTAGAGGGCAGAGGAGGAAGCCGCTTCCCTCCCTTAATCTGATAGTCAGAGATAAGCAGGCAGGCATTTTACATTTGCTTTTTAAAGAATTGTGAGCTCAGCGATACAGGCCCATTGGAAATTCACATGCCTGTAGCAAAACTTGGCTAAACACACTTGTCAATCAGGCATTTCCACATTTCCAGCTTGTTTCAAATTGTTGCCAGCCCATTTTAATGCTCTTCAAAGCCTTCCCCAAAGAAATGGGTGGTTTCAAGTGCCCAGCTTTGCGTTGTCTGCTTTTAAGCTTGCATGAAACAGTAAGATGAAAAAATAGAAGTAGATACACCAGATCGTAGACTAGCTGAGCCTTTGAAGAATTCTCCTGAGAAACATGGAAGTTTCTTCTCCTACGTGTGATGGCGTGTTAATACTTCCCGAGTTACCTGGCCTAAGATGATGTGAATGATGGAAAGAAACAATAGGGGAAAAAATCTATTTTAGGAATTGATATTTCAACAAGAGAATTTTAAGTGTGTGTGATATTTGAGTATGTTTGTCTTTTCACCTCAGCACTCCACACCCGCAAGTGCGTACGGGTCAGTCAAAGCGTACACCAACTTTGACGCTGAGCGGGATGCTCTGAACATCGAAACGGCCATCAAGACCAAAGGTAGGCCAGACATTTGTCCTCGCCCAGCAGGCGTTTTAAGTCTCTTTCTTGAATCTTCATGCACTGGTCATTTGAAATTGTCGAGCTTTAATGGAGTGGTCCGAATCCACCCCATCCCATCCTTCCCTCCTTCCTTCCTTCTCTCCCTCCCTCCCTCCCTCCCTCCTCTCTTTAAAGAGAGAAATATTTCAGACATGAGAGTCTAAATCAGCCGGTTAGCATTGTGACCTGGAAATAGGTCTTAGCTAAGCATCAGGAGGTCTGACCCCCTGGGTGTGTGCTTTGGGCTCAGCTCTTCACTTAGAAGCCTCAGTGCCCCTCCTAGAAGGAAGAAGTTGATCATGGTGATCCCTGAGGACCTCTTTTTGGTCCTCAATCCCCTTGAATTTCATTACACTTTTTGGAAAAAATGCTGGGAACATTTTACTGCTTGGCTCTTAGATTGATCTAATGAGCGAAAAATTCAGAATTTTTTTTTAACCCTGCAAGTCACGCCACTCCTTTGGCCCAGAGCTCGAATTTGAAGAGCTGTGGGGATGACTGTGTTTCCTCCAGTTCTAGGATGAGTAAGAGGATCAGGAGGCAGAGAAGCCTCCGTTCTGAAATAAAGCAGAGAAAGCATTTAATTGGGTACAGTCGAGCAAGGACCTGTCCAGGTCATCATGCTGTTTTCTGTGTCTACAAAAGCCAATGTGCAGGCATTTTTGGCTTCTGTTAACGAAGCATGTGTCTTTGGGGTTGCCCCAGCCCCAGATCCCTAGAAACATGATGACTGTGGTGATGCTTGTGATTCACCACACTCTTTTCCCCTTTTGGACAAAGCACTTCCTTTCACTGTGAAGCTAGATGGAGACGCAGACGTGACAGCAGCCCGAGCAGCTGCTGGTTCATCCCCGGCTGACGAGCTGTGGGACGTGAGGATGGTGAGTGTTTTCACTGGCACGCTCATGCCGTCCATGTACAGGTCCCTGGCAGACTGGGGACCTCAACCAGGGTGACCTGGGGACCTAAAACTAGGCTGACCGTGTGTCCCTGTTACGCCTGCACTTCTACTGAGCGTGCCCCTTTCACTTTCGGAATTGTCTTATTTTGCAATAAGGTTAAATTACGGTGGCCACCTTTCCTAAAACCCTTGGAGGAGCTGGTGACTGTGTTTCCAGGGAGAGGAAGGCGAGTAGAAAGATCCTTTCTGTCCTGTGGTTCTAACCATGAGGTTTCCAAGATCGACTTCAAAGCCACCATCGTTTCCATGGGGCCTGTGGGCACCTCCCAGAATGGCTGCCTGGATAACCTAAGGAGGAATAAGGAAGCATCCACACTAGGTGTTAAAAAAAAATCATCTTCTTTGGTGCTTTTACGTGACCCTGCTTGTCAAAGGACAGGCTTGAACATCAGGAAGTCACTAATCAGAAAATGAAACTGAAGTCTGCGGGGCTTATCTCACTGCAGTCAGTCCTACTCGGCGGGGCCTCGGGGATGAGAGCGCGTGCAGTTGTGGATTCATATCCTAGCTCCACCACCAGGTCACTAGCCTTCTGACTCTGGGGAGACAGTCAACTGCCTTAGGCCTCAGCTTCCTTACTATAAAGGGGGGCTAATCACAGTTCCCCCCTGGCATATAGATAGGGCTCAGAATGTGTTCCACAAGCCATTGTAGAAACACATCGATGTCGAACAGTTAACGCATCTGACCGAGATGGTGCCTTTTACAAGCCTGAGACAAAGGCTGCTTTTATCCCTGCATGAGAATGCTTTTAGCACGCTGGAATGTAAAGATTGCGCAAATGAACTCTGGTAACAGCTGAAACTCCCGTGGTTGTAAAAATACCTTCAGGCCCTTTCTGAGTTAGTAGAAAAACATTGTAGTTTCCTGCATTCTGGTCAAAAGCAGCTGACACCACCAGCTACTTTTGTTTTCAATTGAAGTATAGTTGATTCACAATACTGTGTTAGTTTCACTTGTACAGCAAAGTGATTCAGTTTTTAATATATTTATTTTCAGATTATTTTGCATTATGGATTATTATAAGATATTGAATATAGTTCCCTGTTCTTTACAGTAAATCCTTGTTGCTTGTCTATTTTATGTATCGTAATGTATACCCCCAATTTATTCCTCCCTCCTTCCCTTTCCCCTTTGGTAACCATAAGTTCATTTTCTATGTGTCTGAATCTGTTTCTGTTTTGTATACAGATTCATTTGTTTTACTTTTTAGGTCCCACATAAAAGTGATATCATTTAACATTTATTTCCTCTGACTGACTGAGTTCACTTAGTATGATAATCTCCGGGTCCATGTGTGTTGCTGCAAATGGCAATATTTCATTCTTTTTTTATGGCTGAGTAATATTTGTTTACAGGTATACAGCACATCTTCTTAAACCAGTTGTCTGTTGATGGGCAGTTGGGTTGTTTCCATGTCTTGGATGTTGTAAATAGTGCTGCTGTGAACATTGGGGTGCATGTATCTTTACGAATTAGAGTTTTCATCTTTTCCGGATATATGCCCAGGAGCGAGATTGCTGGATCATATGGTAGCTCTATTTTTAGTTTATTAAGGAACTACCATACTGTTTTCTGTAGTAGCTGCACCAATTTACATTTCCAGCAATAGTGTAGGAGGGTTCCCTTCTGTCTATACCTTCTCTAGCATTTATTATTTGTAGACTTTCTGATAATGGCCATTCTGACTAGTAAGAAGTGTTACCTCATCAAGGTTTTGACTTGCATTTCCTTAATAATTAGTCATGTTGAGCATCTTTTCATCTTTTGACCATCTGCTGGTCTTGTGAATGAAAAATATTGCCAGCCATGTCAGTATAAAGGATGCTGTGGCCATCAGGTATCAGCCACTTCCGCCACCCACCCCTGACAGCGGACGGAGCTCAGGATGCAGACGAGCAGGCAGCCGGCCTCTGCAGCCACCCCTAGTGGTGCATCTTGAGGGAACTCAGGATGTGGATGAACAGGGACACTGGCCCTAGATGGTGGAGTGCACATCAAAGGAATGATTTCCAGGAGCCCAGACTTTTGCTCCTTCCCGTATGTAGAAAAGTGCTAAATTCCTTAACTTGAGGTATCTGGTTTTCTTTAGTTAATAGTAATCTTTTGATGTTCTGACTACCTGGTCTTTGTTGCAAAAACTCACATATCTGGCTTCTACCTTGCCACTTAGGAACAGCTTCTTAGAGCGATCTGAGATGCTGTGCCCCAGGCTCGAATCCTAAGAAAATCCTCCGAATAAAGCATAACTCTCAGCTTCCAGGTTGTGCATTTTCTTTCATTTTACAGTGTTCTTTGGAGAAATGTCTCTTTAGGTCTTCTGCCCATTTTTTTGATTGGGTTGCAGCTGCTTCCTGAGTGCTGCTCATTATGAGCTGAGTGGCACCAAGCACTCTAGAACATTCATCCTGGTGAACTCAGATTAACCCTCTGATGTACTGTGCTGTCATCCCCAACTTATGGGTGACACAGTGTAGGATTAATATGCTCCAGGTCTCTTGGCTTTGGTCCAAACTGGGGTTTGAACAGGGCTTTGTCCAGCCCCAGGTCTATGTATGTTCTTAAGCATCCCAGTGCAATGCAATGCCACCTGCCTGCCAGGATCGGAATTCTTTCTTTGCCATGAGTTATTTTGGGGCATGAGAACATTTTCTAGCTGTGATTCTATGGATATCAGACACATGTCATATTTGTGGGTCTAACTTTAGGCCCCCTGTTGTCGTCTCTTCCAGACTGAATACCCAGTGAGTCCTGGTTAGGACTACTATTTATTTATTTATTTAATTTTTTGGATTGAAGTATAGTCAGTTCCAGTGTGTCCGTTTCTGGTGTACAGCACAATGTGGGACTACTTTTTATTTACTGATTTATTTTTGGTGCCTAGTGATTTTAGAGAATAGTAAATTTCTTGAGTTAAGTCTGTTGGTCCTTTAAACTTGTTTCTAAATTGTCAGTATATTTAGAACCTTAAATCCTTCTAGGAAACTCTTGAGAAGAAAGAACATCCCTGCACAGCTCAGTGTACCAGAGATGTTAACATCAGCATTGGTTATAATAGGGACAAGCCCAGATCCGTCTTCCAGTTGAGGGTAACTTGGTAGATTACGGTAACTGTTTGTATTACCTAGAATGTCTGTAGTATGTCACAGACACGTGAAAAATAAAGTTTATGAATGGTTTTTATACATTGTTATTGATATAATTTACATACCATACAGTTAACCTGTAGAATATGCACATTGCAGTGTTTTTTAGTGTATTCAGAGTTGTGCAACCATCAACAGAATTAATTTTAGAACACTCATTTTTAACATTTTTTCACCTTAAAAATTTGTCAGTTGCATAGAAAATGTACATAGAGCAGTGTATGCAGTATGATCACACCCCAACAGCTTTTTTCATGTCAAAAACAAACAAAAAGGCGTTAACTGATACATAGAATTATGGGTAATTCTTTTATATAGGCGTTGATTCTTTTCTTGTGCTTTCAGTATATTCTGTATTTCCCAAATTTTCTCCTATGACAGTGATTACCTTCATAATGGAAGGCAGAAAACCTAATTAAAAACAAAAAGGAAGTCATTACCGTTGACCCTTGAACAGCTTGGGGTTTGAACTGTATGGGTTCACTTATACGTGGACTTTTTTCAGAAGTAAATACTACAGTACTACACGGTCCAGTGTGGGTTGAACCCGCGGATGTGGAGGAACCAGGGAATGCAGAAGAATTTCGTGTCTGGAGGGCTGACTATAAATTTGTACGGGGGGTTTTCGACTGGGTGGAGGGTTCAGAACCCCTAACCTGGGTTGTTCAAGTATCAGCTGTAGTTAGCAAAGTCACATTCCTTGTGTTTCTTTCACCTTCTCCTTGATCTTTTTAGATACTAGCACTACAAAAAATTGAGCTAAAGATCTTATCTTCCCCCTTGAGAATGCCTTCCACCTCAAGTGTAATTAAGAAGCTCGTGCCACACCTTAATCTCCTACCACCTCAAAC